TGCACCTCCTGATCAGCTGTTTCGTGGCGTGCGAGGAGGCTCGTGGGGGGAAGGGAGGAGGAGCGAGGGCACGGCAGGCTCGAGGGGAGGGGGCAGGAAGGGGTGGAGTGGGGGCTGGGCCTGTGGCAGAGGCAGGGGTTGAGCAGTGAGCACCCCCCGGCACATTGGAAAGTTGGCGCCTGTAGCTCCAGCCCCGGAGTCGGTGCCTGTCCAAGGAGCCGCATATTAACTTCTGAAGAGCTGCATGTGGCTCCGGAGCAACAGGTTGGCCACCCCTGGACTAGACGATTTAAGATTACACTGAAACGTGCTGCTGGGCAAAGCACAAGGCTAATACTCCGCACGATACTGCAAGAGCTCTAGAACTGCGTCGGGATGGTCGATCCTCAGCTAGCACAAATCGATGTAGCTCCATGGATTTCGGTGCTTTTTTTAAATTTTGGGGTCAGATCCTCAGTGACTGTAAATTCACATCGCTCCACCAAACTCAACAATCTGCATAATGTCAGCGCATGTCCGCATGCATATACACACGCACGCACAAAATATGCTTAAAAATCATAAAGTGCACAACACCTAGAATACACACACACACACACGGTCCAAGCACTGCACCAGCACACAAGGACATGGTGGAACACCAGCTGTCAAACCACCATTAACGTCATGGAGTTCTGCCAATTTACACTCGCTGAGGATTTGGCCCCAAAAGTATCAAATGCAACAACCAAGTGCCGCTGGACACTTTCAGGGAGGTTTACATCACTTCTAGGAAATCTCTTTCTCTCCCCCCTCCATTCTCCCTTACCTCCTTCCCTCCATCCTCGGCAATGAAAAAGGGATTGGTCCCATCAGACACTGTGAAGGTGAAGCGATCCTTCAGGGAGTTGCTGCCGTCATGGCTGTAGCAGACCCGGTTCTGGTAGATGTCGTCCATCGTGAAGGTGGCCGTCTGGCGATAGTGCTGCCCGTCGTTGGTGCGTTCAATCAGACCGTGTCGAGGAGGCTGCACGATGGTGAATGTAACCGATTCGGCCTGTCCAGAGGAAAGGGGTTGGTGGGGAAGGTGGCAAAGCTGGTAAAATATCCTTGTGGGAGTGGTGGGTTATTCGGGTCAACAAAGCTGGAGACGGATACGACTGCGTTTTACCTTTTCATCTGTCTTCTTTCCAAGTACAAGAGTTCAAAGAAGTAAAGAATAGCCGCTGGGCACTGAGACAGCTCCGCATGCTGGCACTACTGTGCCAACCACCCTTTCCCAATGTCACTGTCTCCATGAGGACATCAACAGTGGTCACATGAGAGTCAGTCGGGCTAGATCGGACCATAGGTTCAGCTAGTCTGATAGCTGTCTCCCTGGCCACACTTCATGCAGTCGTAGCATGCAAACACGCTCATTCCTTTTGCAGAAAAGTGCAAGTTGCTTATTCTGTCAGTGAAAGACTGTTGCCATGGCCACGGGACATGGTCCCACGGCTCAGGTTAAGGAATGACACACTCAGAAGCCAGGTGCTTGGCCCAGCATAAGTCCCCATTGTGCCCAGATGAGGCAGCTGGGGATTTCTCTATTTTAAGTGAAGTCATCAGAGCCAGCTCTATGCCACCCTCGTAGAAATGCTTCAGCATTACAAGTCTAGGCATGTCAGTTACAGCAGCCCTGTGGCTGCTTTAACTTGTGCCCTGGGCTTGCTTAGCTCCTAGTGAGACCCAGGAGAAGGGACTGAAGAAAGGTGACTTGCGTCTATCCCCTTCATCTGTGCCAAGCTAAGCAGAGCTGAGAAGAGATAGAGCCCGCAAGGTTTATAGAGGAGATGGGGCAGGGGGATGTTAGGTCCTAGCCCAATGATGGGTTTTCTTTGCTACCCATAGAAGGGAGACACAAGAAATGAAGTATGACATTTTTCGAGCCAAGACTTAGCTTTATTCAGACATAATTCCCTACCTCAGACCTACCCCAGACCTTTATTCAGACATACCCTCCTCCCAGCTGTTTGTCTGAAGCTGTCTAGTCCCTGTGGTCACACAGAGTATGTGTTGGGTGGAGGTGATGTGTTGGGAGGAAAGACATTAGTTTGAATCCCTCAGAGTATAAACGCCGCTGCGCAACAGCACAGGGGAGAGAGGATGTGGAAGCGATGCGCCCTTACCTCCGTGTCGGCATCTGTGGCTTTCAGCTCAAACTCCGTGATGGTTTTTCTCACCCCTTCCTGCACCCGCATCCCAGGACTCTGCACCACAGGCAAGGAGTCATCCACTGGGGTTATGGTGATGTCAAACGTCTGAGTGACCTGGGAGAGAAAGAAAAACAGACCTTTTCTGACGAATACGTTCTACTCGGGATGTGTCTGAATGGAAGCAACGATGTTATGAAGAGCCAATGGGGACAGCTCATAGGTAATGCTGCAGATTGTGTATAAAAGAGTGTTTGTGATGCTTTCTTCAGGCGTCCTGAACTCTATGTCACCCTGCTACCCCTCTGCCACTACTCCCCTCCACCTAGGGTGACCAGGTGTCCCGATCTTATAGGGACAGTCCCGATTTTTGGAGCTTTTTCTTACATAGGCACCTATTACCCCTCCACCTCCGTACCGATTTTTCACACTTGCTGTCTGGTCACCCTACCTCCACCTCACACATTAAATGTGTTCCCTTGGTGACACATCTGACCTCCGTCCATACGAATAGCAGGAGTACATGCCAATGCTAAATTATAAGCTCGGGAGGCAAAGCTTGTTTCG